TGATATACTGAGTAAAGACCTTTGGAAATAGTTGAAACTTCCCCAATACAAGTCAAACGAAATGTTCTTGTGGCTCCCATCAGATTATTAACGCTTTTCCACCAATTTTGGACAATTATGGTGTGGCTAAGAATTCATTTTTAGTTTGTCCATAAGTGAGGTGGTGTGTATGGAGACAGGATGGGGGCCGACTTCTCTTCTAGGGTTGAGATGACATTCAAATTAATTGTAAAATCCAACAGGGAGAAGGAGGTGGATGGATGAGAATTTTGCCTATTAGAAATAATTAGATAAAAAATTTGCAGTGGAGTAAATGTCAGTTATATAAGCAGCAATTACAGTTTAGGTATACTGTTTGTTTAGTGGGGTAAGGGATATCTGTGCAGGGTAGGTACTGGTGGGTGGATGGTGCTTAAGAAGTAAAGTGGAAGATTTATACAGGAAGGCAAAGAGGAGAAAAGTATGACTGATAGAAATGCATGCAATGCTTCAATGACCTCTGTGATTTCATGGATGAGATAACAGAGGGAGAAGAAAGAAATTGGGCAGCAGAGGAAAAGATCGAGGAGTGGAGTGAGAGACTGGAGGAACAGAATGCAATGAGGTTTTTCGACCTGATATTTCTGAAAGTCAAACCTTCATCTTCAAACTACCTGCAGCAGGAAACACATTTTACATGGTTAAGGCATAGGCTCGTAAAGTACCTGATTTGATTTGGGAAAGACTTGGTGGTTGGTATGTATACAAGCCCTGAGTTATGGCCAAGGACGTAAAATGGGACGTAAAATGATATAGATATAAATATCTTTCCCTATCATAAACAACCTGATGTCTACCTTTAATCCTGTTGGATTACTTTTGAATAATTGTGCCCTGGTGATAAAGATGGCTATCACTCCATATAACGGCATCCTGCAACATAACACAATATCAGTAACAAAGTGGAAGACAGACAATTTTTTAAGTGGTTTTACAAGGAAAACTTTATTAACCCTAACCCAACAGTTGTGATGCATGGCAGGTTGGGTTATCAGTAAAATTGTAAAGGGTCATCTTCCAAGCATCTTGAATAGCCCCAAAAGATTTAATGTTAAGGCCACAATTGGTTTTGAAGGTCTTCACTCTGAACCATAAGGTTAGACAAACCAACTAATCCAGAAAGCATTTTTCTTTAGAATAATAGTTAAATCTTAAGAAAGGTTACTGAAATGACAAAAAAACTTTCTGAAGATAAAAGCATAGGTCTATTCGGATGTTTGGTAAAAGAAGCACCAAAATATTTGCCACCTTGATTACAATGTGATACCACAACCTAAATGACATTGAGCTTTCAGAGGACTAAAGTCATTTTTTAAAAGGATTAAATGGACCTTTTGTGTGAGATGGATGGTCGGTAATAACAGGGGATAAATGTTGAAGAACTGTGTGGTATTCGGCATCCAGCCTCAGAATGGATTCCATTAGTAGAAGTCAATAAATAGGGGAGAAGAAGTAGGAGAAGCAGTATAAGGACGCGGGGGAGGGGGACAAGGACAGATGGTGAAAACTATGATGAAAATGATTTTTGGAAAATAAAAGAAGAGAGAGGAAATGCTGGTTAGATAGACCAGGGGATTAAATGAATCAATGTTTTGTCGAGGGGGGGGGGGGGCTGGGTTGTGTTGTTAGATTGAAAATCCCGAAATGCTGTGGACAAGAAGAAGAAAATGAAGAGATGGAGACTAATGAGAAATAATGGTGTCATATATTGGGCTCATGAATGGACAGTAAATAATGTTTAGATTTAGGCTGTTTGGCAAATTTGTGCCACTGACGATTGTGGCAATACATCCTTATGACTCCATTTCTTAACCTTTTCAAGATAATGCTGCTTCATTTGTTGTTCTAAATTAATGTTAGACTCAATGTATATTATTTAATTTGCAGGATTTTAAGATGAAGTTTAGCACTATTGTGTGTGTGTGTGTGTGTGTGTGTATCTCTTTGTGTACCTGTTTTCTTGACATTTTGGGAACGAGAGTCTATTAATTTATTTGGTTTTACTATGAATTTACACATACTGTGTGTTGATATACATGGAGACCTTTTTGCAGTAGAAGTATAATACAAATACACAATGATGTTTGTCTCTATGTTCTTGTGTACAATACATTGTGAGGACAACAGTCCACTTAAACAGTCAGATTGCAAGGACCAGTAGCCAGTCCCCAAATGATAGAGTGGTTTACCACAGTAACTAGGGAAGGCAGGGTCCCTGAAATTCTAGAGAGACTATTCCAGTTGATGTCTGTAATGCATAGAGATGTACCGTCAGGGTGATGGTTATACTTCCAGGTCAAGGATTTAATATCTCAATAACATGTCCTGACATTTGTAAAGGAAAGTGTAAGTGAAAGAAGTTGAGAGCGGGGTACTCCCTGCTTTCTTTAAAGCAGGTAAACGAAAGCAGCAATAAAGTGTTCCCTGCTTTAATACATTTGAGTGATAACTAACAAAATACAGTCGTGATAAAGGGCTGTTCACTCAAAGTACGAAGGAAAAATGGAAATGCTGTTTAAAAAGGAAGACAAGATAAATGTCACATGTGAGAAATCTGTTAAACTGCAGGAAAAAAAAACAACCTACAATGTTCAGAACACTTGAAGTACATTTTGAATAAATGTGTTCACATCCTGACATTTAAATCAGAGGAGCTTTTAAAGATAAAGCAGGCTTTGGAAGTATTCAACTATGGAAATATGTGACATTTGTAAATAAAAAAGGCTATCCTGTTTTGCACGTTTTCCCAGATTTCTTCCCAGTTGCCAACATCTTGTAACTTTTGCTAAAATGTTGCTAAAGTGCTACGCTTATGATGGATTAAGCTGGGTCTTTGTAATATAGCAATGGGTAAGGTCTTTTTACCTGCTCTTTGTGTCTCGAGATTACAATTGTCATGAATTGGCGCTATACCAATAAAGATTGATTGATTGATTGATTGATTATATGTTTAATGCTTTAACATCTGTCTATTATCATCAGATTTGCCCTCCTTATGCTTATGAAAGTGAAAATGAGCATAACATTTATTCATCAAGCAAATGTTGTGTTTTCTTTTCATCTCTTAATCAAACAGTGTTTGTGTGATTAAGAGATGTTCTTCAATATTTGAGAATTCCTAATTTCTGGAAAACATTTTAAAATTAATAACTTTCTCTGCTAAACTTTACTGATTGCTGCTTTGTTTGTTCATGTTTGTATGTTGTCTGATTCATCTTTGTTGATTCTGGCTTCGATACAATGAATGGAGACCAAGAAGCGCTGTCATTTTAAAAAGCGTAGTTAATAGTTGAAACCAAGTGTAATTGTCGGCTGTTCAAAGTGTGCCATCGCTTTTGAATTGGCATGCAATGAATCTCGGTATATGTTGGCCCAAGAAGGATAAAGCAACCTTTGTGTAGTTCACCAAATTGGTTAAAATATCAATGAAAATAACTAACAATGGTAATTATCAAATGGGGTATTTGCTTGTCAGAAATAGAAAGGGTCTAAGACAATTTTCAAAAATTGTGTTTTGGAAATGACCTTGATTACATTTTGTTAATTGAATAGAGGAAGTTGTTTACTTCTGAGAACAGATAATTAGCCTCCTGGCTAGTCCTAACTCCACCCCCGAAAAAATTGTTTACAAGCACACACGCATACAAACAGACACACACATAACACAGTGAAATCATGATTCGGTGCCTGCATTCAGTCGCAGCTGCCAGCTTACATCATAAGAGTCTTGTTTATGCCTTCGGGCAGACATGATGGTCAGCAGTGTGTTCATTCATTGTGCTGGAGGCCAAACAACAAACAGACCTGCTCCACAGCAGGGAGTGGCTTCATCTCACTCATTTATTTCTTCTTACAGAACTGAACACCTGCTGCAGTGTTTGGATGCAGTGTGCAGTGAAATAAGTACATGAAGCATAGCTCACCTCACTCCAACAAACTCTGCAGTGAAGATTACGAGGTGTGTGCAGTTTTGCGAACATTTGTTAGGATTAAGGTTGTCTTTATTTTCACTGTGAGAGGGCAATCTGTTTTACAGTCAGTAAAGGTCCAATGGAAAATAACAATGGTTAACTTGCAGAACCACAAAGAACAAATTAAAATGAAGGAGTTTCCTTGTGTTTTGCAGGTATTAGGCTGTCCCATGAAGCTCAAACCAGAGTTCAGTCATAAACACTGGACACATATTTATAAAGTTAATGTTGATAAAATATGTAGTAAGCTTTCATATTTTTTTCCACAAAGTTTTGCCCAACTGAACTTTTTAAAATGTAATGTTTTGTGTTGACAGTTCAGCATTGTTGCATGTTGTTACCATGACAACCCCAGCTAAGGCTTGTTTATAGAGTTCAACAGTTTGGTTCCGGAAGTAATACCATCCATGGTAGACTTACCAAGAGCTACTTCAGTGTGAAACGATGTACGTTTTGAGAGAAGCGATTGGCCATTGGAATTGCAATGGATTGTGGGATGCATAGTTCCCTTCAATCCTGGAAAAAAACATGTACAACATCTTGTACCTTCGCCTTTTTCTTTTGTTTCAAAACAAAAAACGTTTGGAAAACAATGTATTATGTTCACAAGTAATTGGGTAGGGTGTTGACTTGGTTCCAGGATTAAAAAATAATTTCCTGAAACATCAATGGAGGATTTAAATGAGGGAAATATGCATTTTGAATCAGAGTCGCAGAAAAAGAGGGCTGTCACTGTTGAGCTCTATATATCAAACATGAAAGAGATGGCAGGAGAAGAGTTTTGACCTATGAAGCATAAAGTTTTAAGTTTGTTTTGTCTAAAAATATCGAGACTAGTCATTTTTTTTCAACATTTGTTTTGACAACAGAGGTCACGTCTTCAGTGAGCTCATCGGATTTCATTCCATGAGGTTGTGCTTTGAAAGTAAACTTGTTTGAGTTGAATTTCTCACATTGAAATAAAGTATTTCTCTACTTCATAAAAGCTGAATGCCTCCCTCATCCTCCTTTCCCCTCTTCTTGCTCCTCCTCATCTTCCTCCACCTTTGTGCTGAAGTTCGGAGCTACGACGCTCCTGAGTATAAGCAGGATGTGTTTGCTAGAAAAGCCTGCCCTGCCTTCCTAACCTTTACGAACGCAGCCTACCTGGCAGGAGTCACAGTGGAGCTGCCCTGCCACTGCAAACCTCAACAGGTAAGAAGAAAAACTTAAAGGTAGCCACTTCGATAAAATGTGTTGTTTTATTGACCAGGCTGCAGTGCTGAAAGGCCTGGAGACTAACTGCATAGAAATAGCAAAGCTTCTTTTTGATGGTTTCCTTCTTCGGGAAGACATGGAGCAGAGTGAATTTGATCAGAGTACAAAAAAAGAGAAAGGAGATACTGAGTCTTCTGTATTTTTCTTGCAGAGCAAAATAAGAGACTAAATCTAAAGAGAAAGTAATGAAAGTCTCTGTTATTGATCAGCTGGACGACCATATCGACCCTCAGAGGATGTATTTTGTTCACTCTGCTCCCTGTGTGTTTCAGGTCCAATCTGTTGTGTGGTTCTTTAGGAAGCATCTTGGTGGCTCAGAGGAGACCACAGCACTGACTGATCACCATGGCAACAAGCTGCTGGACCCCAGTCGAGTCCCACACAGCGGCGACCTGCGGAGTCGATTCTCCATCCGCCTCTTCAGCCTGCTGATCTTCAGGGCGGGGCCGGACGACGCCGGCGTCTACATCTGCGGCTCCGACAACAGGGACTTCTTCTACGGTTACGACCTGGACATCCAGGAGGCGCGCACCATCAGCATCACCCAGAGGTGACAAGAAAGATCTGGAGAAGTCAAAGTATGGTTCTGAAAACTGGTTGAGTACTTTTATAACTTTACTGATTTGCTTCTTCTAGGCTCGACCCAAATGATGTAAACCAGAGAGGAAAAGAGAAAAAGAGAGTCGGTTCTGCTCAGCCGCTCTACAGGATCTTCAGCAGCTTCCGGCCCTGGTCTGTGTGCGATCGCTGTGGAGCCCCAGGAGAGCAGGTCCGTGTGGGACTCTGCTACGTCCACTCCAAGTTCCTACATGTACGCTACAGAAAAGCCAATCAGACCACCGCTTCTTGTGGCTCGGGAGCTGTGCCGGAAGCTTTTGAAAAGGTGAAACGAAACAAAGATGGGGCCAAGCTGGAGGTCAAAAGCTGTCAAGTGACATGTCCAAATCCAGCTCCTTCATCCTCCAAGATCCGGTCTTTGATGGCATTTCTCGGGTTCAGGTAAATGCTTGAATAATTATATCTGCTGGTAATTACACACAGGAAAAGGGCTTCATTTCAAGTAGAAAAAATGAGAGTGATTATTTAAATAAAGGGCAGTGGGACTTTCAAAGGTCTGGATTAAAAGCTATAATCATTACATTAGTCATGATTTTAGAAAGATTAACAGTTTAATGTGCTTCAAGCAGCAGCCAGAGGCTCTGAGTATCATTTTCTCCCTATCATCACAGTTTTCATCAACAGTGAAATTGTGACATTATTCATCTTGTTCTCTGTGTCTCAGTTCTGGTTCCACACCAGCAGAGATATCAGTGTACTACCTGAACCACCCTGCAGACCGTGTCCTGACCCTGGGCTGTCCCGGGGCGCGACCTAACATGGCCGTGGCCTGGGACCGAGGACCTGAACCCATCTACAGATTTGATCACTCGGCAGGTGGTAACCACAGCAACACAAACTCCAGACTGCTGATAGACACCGGACACCACCTGGTGTTTCAACCTGCAAAAGCTCAGGACTCAGGTACAGTCTGACAACAATACAGTCTAGAGAGACCTGTTTAGCCAGCCATTTGCAGGAAATGTCCTTCAGTCAAGACGTCCTTTTACATGTCCTAACAACATGCGTTGAATATTGCGCTGCATCGTGCACAATGCAATTTCATCCTTTGCAAGGGGAGATTGAAATTAACAGAGCAAACATTAGATTTCATTACTGTTTGACCTCGAGTGCTATTCTATCGAAGGTGGACAAACTTAAAGCCCAGTCCCCTTTCAATCCTCGTCTGTCTACCAAGCGACACAGGATATTGGAAACGGGCGTCTGGGTAAAAATGGTGCTGCGCTGGGTAGCTCACTGGCAGTTAGGAAACAGCAGAATCAAGCTGAATGTGTTGCTGATGCTTCCTTGTTTTGTGTTCTGACAGAGTGTAAGGCATTGATTTTAAAATCCCACAGTCGGACCAAATTTCAGCGCGATCTTTCCAGGACGGCATGAGGGCCGATCAGCCTAAATAAATATAAAATAAAAGCACTTAAAACAAACAGCAATCAACAATCATCATGTAGACAGAGAAGGAGCAAGGTTGCTTTTTAACACAAATTTTGAGAAACAAACATTATTCAAAATGTTTTTATTGTCCTTTTATCAGTGATTACCTTATTTTTTCACTTTTTTTTGTTTTCATCAGGGGTCTACTACTGCTGGCTGCAGGGGCGCCGCGCAGCTGAGATACGCCTGCTGATCTATGCTCATTTTGGGAAGAGACAATCTGTGACCTCGCATCCTGACTTCCTCATAGCTCTCAGAACCGTGTTCAGATCATATGCTATCATGAGCGCCGTGTTTTGTCTGCTGCTGATCTGCCGAGTGGGAGTCACACTTCTCTTAGAGAAAAGAGAAGCACATGTAGATTAAAGTGTTTTTAAATGCTTTAACGTTGGGTGTGTTATAATCATGTTCAAGCTTGCTCTTGCTGTTTTTCTCTGGGGTATAACCATTTTTAATTATTTAAGGTTCCAGTGAAGATTATTTTCTTGACTTTAAAATTCCGATTTATCAAGTTCAGTGAAAGCTCGAGGGGCTTTGAGAATGAGCCAATCAGAAGAACGGGGCATGTAGGCACCCAAATTCCACTCCCAACAGGTCTGTGATGTAAAGTGGAAGTTTTCCTTTAAGGGCCTTGGAAATATATTTAAAAAATGCAAGAATTCAGCTTCAACAATAATTTTTCTACACGATAAAGGAAAGCTTGATTTGTTTCTGTACAGAAAATAAATCCAACTTTCTGTTCCAACTTGGAATTTTTTTTTGAAAGATAAATACATTAAAATCAAATTGGGTTCCGGCAGTCTCTCATGTTTGTTATCGGGTACAGACTTGAGAATCCCCACCTGATGCGCCTGCTCCAGCGCAGAGTGTGAAGTGCTCTCAGGTGTGCAATTTCTCCCGATAAGAGCTGACTGAGTGATAAAATGAATCTGTGGCATCTCTCTGTACGGTTTTCTCTATCACAAAAGAAAATTGGAGACGAAGAAAAAAACAAATGAAAGCGGACTGAAGTGGTTGATGAAGAGAGAGAGAGAGAGAGAGATGGCTGAGTTAATGAATGTGAGGAAAGACAGATGAGCATTTCCATAACAATTATTTTTGTGCAAATTAGACCGGCTGAAAACTCTTAACAGACTTGCAAAGTATGATACTTCCCCAGCACTAAAAAGGCTGTTATGGATATTTCTGTTTGAAATTAATAAAGTTCTTGTCATTATAAAGTGAAATCGGTCCTCTCAAAATGTTTCTAAATATCATTATTTTATTTGTGTTTTTGCTAATTTGATGCAGGCTGAATACCAAGAATTCTTAATTAAATGTTTTCCGTCTTGCACGGGCTTAAATCAGCGCGACTGATTCCAAATGATATGACTCATCACACCTGGAATTTTTTGGAGAACCAGCAGGTGTTGAAGAGTGCCACTTGGAAAAAGAAAAGCGCAGTCTGGGAGAGAGAATCTGGGTTCTAGACAGAAGGGACATCAGATGTTTCCTCATTAAGACGTCTCTCTGACCCTCCAACCCTGAGAGCCAGAGGGTGGAACACAGGGACTCTTCTTCCTCCACAGCTGTGGCATCCTCGCGCGTCCTCCAACCTTTCAGTCTCCGTCTTTTAAGCCTCTGAATGCGCTCATTTTCAACCTGCAGCAAACAGACTGAAAGTTCACTTAGATCAGAGTTCAGACCTTTGAGTTTTTTTATGGTCCTTATCGGATTCTTGCACGTTGTTTTTAACTCCTCCGCTAACACTCTCTAGCCCCGTTTCCACATCGTGGTTCTGTTCTGTTAAACATGTCAAAAGTTGGGAACAGAACCAAAATAACCAATCCAACCCAACAAAACAACTTGAAGCAAGGCAAGGCAAGTTTATTTCTATAGCACATTTCAACAACAAGGCAATTCAAAGTGCTTCACACAAGACATCAAAAAGCATCATGACAGAGGAAAGAAAAGAAACATTAAAACAGAAAATTTAAAAATCACTGAAATTATTAAATCTGAAAATATGTTCAAATAAAAACATTTTAAATGAAATTAATTTAAACAAAAAAATAAAAGTAAAGATATCGAAAGAGTAAAAATAATAAATAAATTTATAATAAGTATAAATAAATAATAATAATTCAAAATAAATAAAAATAAAAATAAAAAGACACACTGCAGTCCATCGATTGGTTAAAAATAATGTCACTTTCTGTGCGACAGCTGTAAACACGGACAGACACAAAACATGCCGTGTTTCAAGGAGCTATAATGTAACTTTGTACTTTGCGTTTGTAGTGACACCGCAGGCCGTTAAGCGAACTGCACCAGTAACATGTTGGTCGCTCGCGCTGGCTTTCTTGTATGTACACAAACGAGCATCATCATCGGCCGCGAAACACTGGATATTTACCGGCATAAAGATTACAGAGGAGGTAAGTGGACAGGAGAAAGTAAGCCAGTCGTTTATTTGTACTAACAGATTCCATGTTAGATTCATTCTCCATCCTACAAACGACAGTCTCGGCAGGCGCTACTGTTGATCTTTGTAAGCGGAGTGGAATGAGGAGGATGTTGAGAACACGATAGGAGAAAGAGAGAGAAGAATATTGAGCATGTTGAATAGCTGTGAGGCTTCTGGAGTCAGTTGGTTTCTCTTTAAACACACCTCACAGCAAAGGAAAATGTGGCAAGAAGAATCTCCAAGCAAAACAGGACTTTGGTTTTTTTCAGAAAGGAGGGCATCAGATCCAAAAATTGAGCCGATTATTTCTTCTTGTACCTGGGACAAAAATGAATAGAAAACTGTCTCCTGGCTGTTTTTGTATTCAACTATTGGAACAGAGATTTTTATCTGTAGAAACATGTGGCAGCTTGTGTAACGGTTCAACATAAATCACGACCACATGTTGTCAAAAGCATTATATAAAATATTTATATTATATACAACATTCTTTGAAAAGGCCTTCATTGATGTGTGTCCTTAGTTTTCCCTGACATCTCAAAGAAAGCCGTGCCTAGTATCAGAGAAACCTTGAACATCTCAAAGCTGAGCTTTGAATGTGTCCAAGTTGCTTCACACTGTCAGTACAAAACTTAAAGAAAAAGATAGTTCACGTCTTTACCTTCATCTTCACTCTTACTCTGATGCCTCTACTTACTCGCTGAACTTTCCCTTCGTAGGCGCTTTTCTTGAAACTGCTTTATGTTCACCGCTGCATTTTCTCATTTTCACAGCGTGGCTTTGTAGGTGCAGCAGCAGCTGTTAATAACACTGTCTGTCCAACCCAACTGTGTAAGTGTGCGGGTGACAGATTTTCACCCCAGGGTATAAACGCGTACCTTTACAGTTCACAAACATGGCGGCCAAGATAAACACCGCTGTGCGCCTCGAGCCAAGTGGAATATTGAAAGTGAAGAGCAGCCTGTGGAAATATGACAACAACAATAAGAGTGCCTTTAAAATGTCTCATGGTTCTCTTTGACTGTAAAGTTGAGTGTTTTTGTAAATTGTACTTTGTCTGTCCTTGTGTCTCCGTCTGTAACTCTGTGTTCCTAATCTCAACGGGGGCCAACCTGGTTAAAGGAAGAATATGTGATGTTTTGATCCAGCAGATGTCGCCCTTGAGCACCAGCTTGAAACCAAAACAACTCATGCTGCATTGTTGTGTTAGCATGCTAATGCTAGCGATCTTTATTATGCTGGTATCTTCACACTGCATGTAAATTTACCTGAAATGAGCGTGATCTAGAAACACAGTTAAGCAGTGAGTACAGTATGTTATTCTTCTTTTCTCTAGTCCCTCAATTAAACAACTTTTATACACGAGGGGAGGAGTCAGCCGGCCGTCCCGTCCATGTAAACACGCTGTAGATACGGCTCGGAAAACAGCCAGCGGGTCTCAGGTATCACACTCATTTTAAACAGTCATGACTCACAGAGTTATTTTCAGAGGATATACTTGATTTCTGCTGTATTTAAGTGTAAAATGTCGCACATTCAGCCTTTAAATGAAGGTTAAAAAATGCTTACAGTGTTTATAATCACATTGGGGTGAGAATGCATCGTCAGCACTTTGAAAAGAAAGTAAGAATGAGATGCTCTAAATTGGCCTGTTATTGCCACATGTCCTTGGGTAAATGGAAAAAAACACACATGTATCTAAACCTGTAGCTGCTGGTTTGTGTTGAAGACGCCGTCCTTTCTCCCCTCAGCAGCACCACATCGCCTTCTTTTCCCCTTTGAGATAACTTTGCGTCACATTGAGCTGATTATAGCTGGCAGATCGAGACAGTAGAAGGTGAGGGAGAGAGATTTTGGACCGCACGCCGCAGCCATTAATCATCTTGTTAGTGCATCCAGGCCAGCAACTTGGCATGCTGGCTGTCTGCTGAAGATAAATGAACAGGGACCCGTTTCCCGTCCTTGTTTTTGGTTTTGTTTCGGGAATTCAGGCGGAATATTTAAAACCATCTGCAGCAATGTGACCGCCTCGCCTCTGCACAGCTCCATTAGATCGATCAGAAATAATTCCCGTTATTTCTCATCTGCTGCCACCTTGTTGACTTAAGTGATTAGCTTAAATGTGAACACACATATAGCAGCACTTCCTGCTAACAAGGTTCTCCACGTTGGCCTCTGGGAATACTCACAAAATACTCCCTGTGGAGAGTCTGGGTGAAGCTGAAGAAGACGTTTTTATTTATGTCCTGGAATGTTTTATATCCACTCATACCGGGTAAAAAAAATAAAAATTAAGATGTTTTGGGGCTTTTTATGCCTTTGTAGGACAGTGAGTAGAGTTGGAAATCAGGGAAAGAGAAATTTGGGAATAACATGCGGGAAAGGAGCCACATGTCGGATTTGAACCTGGACCGTCCGCTTTGAGGACTGTACGTGTACACTCAGCCGCCTGCACCCCATACCAAGTGGAAGTCTTAACATGTCCTCATACCTACTCATGAAATTGTCAGGGCATCGTGAAAGACAGGAAATGTAGTTCCAGGATTAGATTCTGAGTTACTTTTTGCCTCTTATTTCCACTTAGATGTATTTGTCGTGTGACTGCATGCTGCGAACCGTGATGCCCGTACCATTACAAAAAACCATTACGGCCCAATTAATGTTAATGCTTTTTGTCCTGATTTTACAATGAAACCATCAAACTTCTGGTCTGGAATGAAAAATGTCTTGACAACTTTTGGATGGAAAGAAAGAGACAGCTGAAATGAACCATTTCAGGCAGAGGCTGAAAAGAGGGTGTTGACAGTCACCAGTATCAGATAAATGATAATAATAATAATAATAATAATTTGAATACTTACACTTAAACCTTAAAGGCTTACTATGCAATTTTTTGATCCAGCAGATGTCGCCCTTGAGC